GCATTTCATAACCGTGCATGTGACCTGTGGTATGAAAGAGTTTAGGATTGTATTTAGGAGTTTCCAACATAACACTAGAAATAATAATCATAATAATTACTATCATTATATGATGATAAAATTTACAAAAAAAACTTTTTAATATATATGTACCCAGAATTTCTAAACTTTTGAATAAGCGCGTTTTTGCCTTGGACATTGGCATACGACAATTCACAAATCTTGTCAGAGTAGAAGCTCGGCTTTTAAAATGGTTCTTATTTGTTACAAGGGCCAATTGTATAAAAACTTTGGTAAATCACGGAAATTCACATACCATTTTTTTCCAAAGCATGCTTTAGCAAAAGAAAGTACAGCACTTTTGATAGATAATTATTAGTGTTAGGAAAAAGGGAATAAATAATAATACTATATAAAGAAAAAATTTTATCTGATATCCACAAAGTTAATAAAAGCATATCCGATATTGCAATTGTTTTTAAAATTCATACGCAAGTAGATGAAATTGTATGACCACAATGGGTTTCATCAAGCCAATTTAACAGCATTCGCTAAATTTTATACAAGTAACCGTAAGCAATAACGCAATTATATCCGTTGATAATAGAATAATCATATACCTGAGTATACTTGTTCAGAATATTCCTGATCATCAATGTGGTATGATTATCAAGACCTATTATGAAGTGTTAAAGTTTTACAAAGTAAGGAAAAAGATGCTTTTAATAATTATTGTCAAACAGTTTTGTTTATAATAGTAAGATTACAGAATATATGGGGACGCCCACAGCAAAAGCAGGGGCTGGGACTATATAATATATAGTTCCAGCCCTGCTTTTGCTGTAGGCATCCCTATATGGGGTTTTTGCTAACAAAATGACACTCCGAGCTATTGTTACACAAGATTTTAATTAGTAAAATCATAACAAATCTATTTTTAGTAAAAAAAAATCATAGAAAGGCCCCATATATAATCTAGGTTCACACAGAAATAGCGAATTTTGATTGGTTGAATCATTTGATTTACCACGTGATTGCTAGTCCTACACTTACTTTTTTGATACATCTGAACATATCTAACTTTTAACTATAATAACATTCAATCCTATAAGTTTAGGTATGTTTAGATATATTATGAAAGTACAGGAGTATCAAAAATCGCTCTACGTTCATCCTACCTAGCAATAAATTAAAAATACCATTTTTAACTCTTTCAAGATCTAGAGTATTCTTGTCTAGGATAGCTCTGTTACCAGAAAAGATCACGATACTATTTTCAGACGGGATGGAAAACTCTTTGCCATATATTCAGACCTACATTCTAAGCCCAGTGAAGGAGCAACCAGGAACTGTTTATTAATTAGAATTATGTTATTTATCATTATTATTAAAATTGTTATTACCACTATTAAGCTATGGAAATTATTAAAAAAACAACATATATAATAGAAAATACCTCACATGGTTTAGAAGAAAACCGGATTTCAATCTAAATTAATTATGAGGTGTGTCTTTATGATGGAGGAATTGAAGTGTCTTGACAGCATCACGAAAATCATAGTAAATCACATAAGCATAACCGAATCCAACAAGAATTTCTTGAACAACACCATAAAACTATTATAAAAAAATGCGTAAATTAAAAATCGTCGGTTATATAGCGTCTATGGGAGTAGTTAGAGACATGAAATTTAAATAAAGCTTATAATTAATTTAGGCAAGGACTTTTAATAGCAAAAAATTATATTCGCATTTGAATAAATTAATTGTTAGCTTTTTTTACATTGCATGTCTCTAAATAATGCCCACGGACATAGAGATTGGAACCGCCTAAAAATTTTCTTAATCGTTTAATCGTTTAATCGTTTAGCTGTTTAATTTAGCCAGCATTAAAATAATTCCAACCCAAACCAACATAATTCTGCATGGAACTATAGAGCAATTTTTAAATAGTTAAATGGTTCTAATCTCTACACGGACATTAATTCGTATAAATACGCTATTAAATTAAAAATTACCTCGAAAATTAATTTCATGTGGCGCCAAAGGTTAACTTCTGTAGGAAAATTTGAGATGTACAACCATCTAGAAGGTAAAGCACCCCAAACTTCCTTAACGTTAAAAGTAGAAAATGTATTTCTCGAGATTCCCATGTTATAAAAAAATATAAATTTCAAAATAACAACAGAAAATTATAAATGTTTATATATAGAGAGAATTTCTATTTTACACTATAAGATACCGGTATACACAGGTATATTGATATCTCAAATAAAACCCACCTTGGGTTCAAATCAATTAATAAAAGCCAACTTACAGCTTGTTATCAAAATCTGTCTTGGAATTAATAATATTAGTTATATTTCACAATACATTAGTGGAGGATAATCACTAAAATTAGTTCAAACAGATAATCCTATGATGTGATGAAATAAATTATATGCATTACAAAATGTGCCAATACAGAATTATACTTTTAAAGTATACGTTATATATACTGATATGTAAATACGTATATGTAAATACAGCATAGCAGATGAAATAGAAGATACCATTATTATTAATAACCAAAGGCCAAAAGCTTATCGGCGGCATTCTAAAAATGGTTCTATAACTACAACTGTTGTTGTAGAGAATTTAAAAATATCTGATAAATACAAAAAAGGAGGCATAACATCAAAAAAAAAGTACCGCAAAAAAGTTGATATTGCTATTTCTTTCAGAGTTGATAAAGAAAAGAATAAAAATTGAGAAAAAAATTTTGGATATCTTTATTCCTTACTTGGCGAAATGAAGCTTCCAGGAATTAACGGCGAAAAAGATTTAAAAAAACATTCGAGCTTTAAATGATAATTTTAATACAATTATTAAACATTACTCTAAGAGAGCAAAAAAAATTTCAAAGGAGCTATATGGACTATTTGATAGTATTAAACTTGGAGGAATACATGCATCAGGTAGTGTGATTTATTTATATATTTTTTGAAAAGATAATTACTAAAAATATACTATATATAGAAGGAGAAATATATCTTCTTCAATATGTAAGATTCACAAACCAGAACTTTGGTATTCTATCTGATATCTGTTCAGCTAAGATTTCTTCAAAACCTGAAGTTCAGCATGCAGGCCAAATGATTGACTTTCTTTATTGTATTAAGGTTAGGTTTAATTGTTTTTTTTAAATATAAAAATTTTTCAGATTTTTCAGCCTATTTTGATTTTGCTTATATTTTTTATTAGGGCATGGTAAAAGAATTTATTAAACAAATTAAAAAAATTGAAGAGGAAGTTAAAAGAATTAGTGAGTTTTCAGATAACAAAATCGAGAAATTTGATAATTTGGGCAAATTTTTAAAAAGTAATATTTTAACTACACCTTCCTCTCCAAAGCAATTTTAATAAGATTTTTTGTTTTTTTTGTAGCAATTTTTAAGAAAATAACTAGTATCTGAAATCAAAATAAGAATAAAACAAACAAATCTGCTTTAATATAGTTATTATAGGCGGCCAAGCTGTCTACATGATCATGTTTCTAGTTAATATATAATAATAACATATATTCAATATATTTATTTGTTCAACTCTTTTACTTGTGGATGTTTGATTTGTTTTAAATTTGTTCACGAATAACTTCTGCCAATGTAGTATAGTAAAAATAACCCTGATGATTACAAAAGTTACTCTTTTTTTGATTTTAATAAATATGCAAAAATCGAAAACGTAGCTTTTGCAGTGTATGAAAATTAGATAATTGATAATTGAATATTGCCCTTAATATAATAGTACCCCACCATTATTTCTTTTTATGAAGTAGCTATTCTCAACTGGTTAACTACTAATAAGAATTTTCCTGTGAATTACTAAGATGCTATAAAAGATTTTAAAAATGGCGTTACTGGCCCTTTGTAAAAATAAATTTCGGCCTGAGAGTGGAGAAGCAATAGTAGATGCACTTGTCATAAACAACAGCTACACCTCACAGTATAAAACACTTCATTTGGCCTAAACAAAAAGCAAGACTTTACCTAATGCCATAAGGTATGCTTTGCGACCTGAACTTTGGGCTACCATATCATTGTCTCAAAAACCAATTATGTAAAGTTGGTCATGAAGAATCTTTGATCAACTTTAATGTTGCATTATCGTTATAAAAGAAACGAACTTCATAAGTATCATGTGTAAGTTCCTTTTTTAGGATATCAAAGTCCTATTGCTGAAGAAAATATTATAATCAAAAATCAAATCGATGATCCTATTGTTTTATCATCAAACAACACTAATATTTCATTATATAGAGAACCAAAACCAGGGTTACCTACATTCGAATTTATTCTAAGAAAGTTGATACAGCCCTCACATACAAATATCAAGAAAATAACTTAGTGTATTTTCTAATTGTGGAAGTAAAACTTCC